GAGCCCCCCTCCTCCTCTGCCCCCAAACCTGCTCCACATTCCCCGCAGGGGCCGGCTAAACCCAAGCCTGGGAAGGGGATGAGACAGGCGACAGAACTTCATGACCTCTTGTCACCCGGTCCGTCCCTGCCGTTCCGGATCTAGTTTCCACTCGGCTTCCGACCCTCAGCGGGACGGATCGCCTCTGGGTGGGGCTTCTAGGACGTCCAGGCGGAGCCCGCGTGCAGATGTCACGCCAGGCCTTGGGTGGTGCCCGTCCCCTCATCTCCCAGGCTGTGCAGGGCAGGGAGTCGCTCTGGAGAGACCCCCTCCCCCAGGCTGGGGCAGCTCAAGCCAGGGACAAAAAGGCTTCTCTGGATCCTCACCCCCGACAAGCGGGAAGGGGCCCGGGAGGCCCAGGACGGGGCGGGTCTGCGACGGCGCTGACGGGACCCCGGCGGGAGGACGTCTTGGGGGACGTGGGGGGCCTGGGGAGCCTGCTCACCGACTCGCACGGGCCCAACGCACCCGTGGCTCCACTCCCGCCGAGCGCAGCTTCCTGCGGCTCGACCCGCCCGCGGTGGAGGCGCCAGGACACCGGGGCGGGCGGCGGGGACCGGCCAGAAACCCCGGCGTGGAGGGGAGGCGGGCCGCAGGGCGCCGGTGGGCGGGACCACCTCGGAGCCGCCTGGCAGTAGGAGAAGGAGGCCTCGCCCGGGAGCGGGAGGGCGTGGCCAGGCCCGGCACCCCTTATCTCACTCAGCCTTGTCCCCTCCTCTGCGTGACCTGGACGGTCCAGCAGCCGGGGCCGGCTCGGCGGGTTCATTTGCATGTAGTTAGCATGTAATTTACATAGTCCACATGCTCACTCTCCAGCTTCTCCTTTTTTTTTTGTCCAGGTTCTAGGGTTCCAGGAGCAAGAGAGGGAGAAAGCGTGTGATTAACAGTCTCCACCGCCCAGCGGGAGTAGGGTGGCAGGCCAGGGTCCGGGGCATTAGCTGCCCAGGGGTCCTTCCAATGAAAGCCTAGAGTCTGAGGGCCGCATCCAGGGGAACCAGGCAGGCAGCTGTGGGGGAGCAGAGAAAGAGACCACCCCTCAGCCCTGGGAAGCAGGTCACAGGATGCCCACCGCGTCCCCTCGGCATGTGCCCCTCGGAACTGTAGGCCCTTCCATCTTCTCCCCCAGCTAGCCAGCCCTTGATAGGCATTATTTAAAACATATTTAATTACTGCAAAGTTACAGTCATTAAGACAGTGCGGTGGTGGCATAGGAATAGACATGTAGATCGATGGACTAGAATGGAGAATAAACCCTTACACTTATAGTCAATTGGTTTTTCCATAAGCTGAGACAAGCTAGTGGGCGGAGAACAGTCTTTCCAGCAAATGGTGCTGGGACAACTGGATGTCCACATGCAGAATAATGAGGTTGGACTCCTACATCTGCTTCTCCATTTAAAGGTAAAAAAAAAAAAAAAAAGGATTATAGGTAAAAATGTAAGAATTCAAACTGGAAAGCTCTTAGGAAAAAACGTAGGAGTAAATCTTCATAACCAATGGCTTCTTAGATGCCACACCAAAAGCACAAGCGACAGAGGAACACGCACATAAATCGGACGTCATCGAAATAAAAGGATGCCATCAGGAAAGTGAATCACATATCTGCTAAGGGACAGGTACTGAGAACTCTTACAACTCAACAATGAAAAGACGACCCCATTAAAATGGGTGAAGGATCTGATAGATATTTCTCCGAAGAAGATACACGATTAGCCAACAAGCACGTTAGGGCCTAAGACAGTTGTCGATGAGGGTTGAGTGACCAGTGACCCAGAGTTGGAAGGGGGTCATCATTCTACAGATAAGGGAACTGAGGCATCTCCTGAGAGAGGGAGGCGCCTGCTCAAAATAATAAATCTTTAGAAATTAATAGCGAGTAGTTCGTAGTTAATAGATAGCACAATTGCCATATATCAGTGATAACCACCCCCACATTCTATGGCTGGTCTGCCGAGCCCCCGAGGTCTTTGCACGTATATAGTTCTCTTTCC